TAAGGATTAAAATTGAAAACTAATTTCTAATTTACCAAAAAACTTTGCCAACATTTTGGTAGCTTCTGTGCAATGATATAATCGTTTTGTAGGGAATAAACCGCTCATAAAAGTAATAAAAAGAAAATAATTTCAATTATTTTTATTCTGCATCCTGTATGCTATTATAACAATGAAATTCTAGTCAAACTAAGTCTACAATACTGTGTAATAGTGTTGTTATAATAAATATATTAATGAATGCATTCCTTTTGAATGATATTTACTCTTATAATGTATTTTTGTGAGAGAAATATTTCATACCTTATTATAAATGAAATTTGCCTCAAATTCTTGTTACGATGTGATAGAGTGCTGTATTAGCAATAAAATAATGTTAACATCAATACTCTTATAATTGATGTCTATATGTATTGCAATGTATTATAGAAAGCATTTGAAAGATGTTTATTCTCATCAAATACACACAATATATTTCCCAAAAGTATATATTTTCATATCTTTGTCGAAATGTTTTATACAAATTTCATTATTCAACAAATTTTTCAGACAACAGGCTATGAATTATTCTGTAATATATTAATACACTCTATTGTATTGAACATTGAGATAAAGCACGTATTATACCGTACATGCAGTATGCAGTATCTATACCACAATATTACGTGATTTGAAAGAAAACTTCAAGTTTTAAATAAAAATAATCATTTAATTAAATAAATTTACGTACATTTTGAAAGTTAATCAAAAATTGGGTTATTTAATAATTAATGAATTAAATAAAATTAACAAATTCATAATCAATGAAATCATAAATTTAGGCTAATTTCTGCTCAATTACTGTCCGCGGAATGATCTGCTCTATAGTACTGTCAATATTGAGAAAGTGGTCGGAATCCATAGAATCGGTGTCCGTAACCATAAAATGTTCAAATGAATTGTCAATTGATTTCAATTTGTGAGACCAGACGTGATCCGGACCATGAGTTACCGAAAGCTAAACGATAGGACAATGAAATGCAACAAATATTGTAATCCTATGATCGCATCAAATATACTTACGGTGTCTTTGAGTCGTCTAAATGTAGTAAAGATTTGCTGTTTAGTAATGTCTTCATTCTCTTCACAGTTATATAAACTGCACTCGACTTTCAACTTCCAGAGCAAAAGGGCACTAATCCATGGGTGATATTTGCCGTATATCTTGGCGAAGCTGTCGAGTGCGTCATCGATGGGCGCAATCATGGCGTGGCAGTAGTCAAATGCGGGCCAATTGCCGTACTTGAGGTTAGCAGTGGTGACCGCTTTGT